GGAGGCTGAATATTCTAAGTATATGTTAGAATAAAAGCTATTATTTAGCAAATATATTAATTTTATTCCACAACATAATTATAGATATTACATTTTTCATGTAATTCTGGCGGAAAATGCTAATGCATGGCATCCATAAGACACGTTTCATCAGATTTTCTGTTCTTCAGTTGCCTGTCAGTCATTGTTAGGCCAAAGACAACATGCTTTCTGCTTCTCTTTTGAGGAACAGGTTGACGTAAGGACACTGACTGAATGTTTATGCTGCTTTTTTTTAAAGGTCTGCGTTGCAATAGCAGAAGCAGAAATCATTATTTCCTTTGTGGCTGAAAAAGCCAGAACACTCACCCTTTCACTTCTCTCTCCATCCATCAGCAGACATCCGTCCAGGATGTGCAACTCCAACCACTCTTACAGATAACACTGAACACACACTGACATACACCTCCTTTATGCACAAAGCCCCACCAAACACACACATTCAGTACAGTCTCATATCTTTAATGTTTACAGAAACTGATCACTGGTTTGAAGATTAGGTCAGTTTTTAACAAAGTGAGGAAATATGCATATTTGTCTTCAAGAAATGTTTAACCTTTGTCATTACTAAGACATTTTTACTATTTATTACTTACTTCCTCTTACTCCAGACTATATTTCGGCTAAAAAATCTACCACTTCTTCTACGACTAAATCCACTGTAGGGATGGAATCAATTCAACATTTGTTAACCACTTCTCAAAACCATTTTAGCTTTTAGCAGCAAATATGAAAACAGGGTTGTTCTATTGCTTCTATATTACATTTCCTAGAAAATTTGTTATTTCTTCTTTCAAAAGTCTCAGGTTTCTCAATGCATGTGTAAAAGTGTATTTAACATGGTTCATTTAAATAAAATACAGTACGTACACAAATTTGAGTTTAGGAAGGTTTAAAAATTAACAACTAAAAAGCGAATTACATTTTTATGAAATGTCAGGATGTAGTTGAGACGTCGAGTGTTAATGATAATGATCGCATTGGCCATAGAGGTTCATTACTGAGTAACTAAAGACTTAATTCATCTGCTGGGATCCTGCAGGCCAGCTCCCGTTGAGCTTCATTTGAAATAATGTTTAGAGTATATTTTGTCGATTTGTGTGTCAAAGCATTCAATATTGACAATAGCCTGTCAACAGCATACTGTAAACACAGTACGCACCCTTTAATTCAGGACAGGAAAACATAATCTGAATGAATAACAGTCATTTTACCATAAGTATATATTGTACAGCCTTTTAAAGCATGTTTGCCTCGTGTACTTGTTTTCCCCCTACGATCTGCAATAATAGGAAGGAAGACAGTTTCACATACTGCCAAACAACACTGTGTTATAATAACTGAAAGGTTCTGAAACTTCAAATTTATTTATTTATGTTCCCTCCAGGTTTACCATTTTTTATTTGTCAAGGTTGATCTGAAATGTGAACTTGTTGAAGGTAGACTTGTTAGAAGTATATATACTACTGTACTGTCAGTGCAGGGGGGTGTGGCTGCCACAAACAAGCTACACACAGCTCTTAAAGCAGACAACAGGCAAATCATAACATCCTGCTGAAGATGACCCTCTCAAACCGCACTGGGCTTACCGTGCATGTACGTATAATCACACACAATTAGTTTTGCCATGAGACAGTTGTTTTAGGGATTTAAAGTTGAAGAAACAGCGATAGACAACCTGGAAAAACCAGATGCAGGTTGTAAAAACATTCCATCTCTGAGGGCATTTAAAGAATTGTACTACTAGGGTGTGAAAACATCCAGCAGAAAGTGTAAAAATAGGGACTCAAAACTATTTAGCTCAAGTGGTGCACACCCTCTCAACAAAATATGTTTCCAGCTAAAGTATTTTGTTTGGAAACCGGTCATGGCAGTCGTAAAGGGCAATCTAAAGATGAGCAGCGCAAACATATTTGTTCAGAAGGAGAGAGAAGGCTTTATAAATCCCCCAGGTTTTCATTCAGGTATGCATTGCAAGTTCAAATACCCACATGCACAAACAGGACATAATAAACATTAGGCATGAAATACACACATTGATAAACACTACTTTTGGATTTCGGCGCCTAGAACCAGTTGAGGGTTCTGTGCCTTTCCTAATTTAACCTTGCCAATGTCATCTACAGGTCTAGACATAGATATATATATATATATATGTTTTGGTCCATGTGAGGACTTGAACCAGTGATCATCTGGTGGTCACAATGCCCGCTACAGCCTGCACCTTGTGGTGTTATGCAATCAAAACCGTTGGAGGTGAATCATGCAGGAAGAATGCAGAGATGCGTCTTAAACAGAACTCAGAAAGTTATGTAACGTGCATTTATTAAATGCACCAGAATCATTCAAATACATTTTTCCATGACACTGAAGTCCCACTAAATACATGGCTGTTGCTAAAAAGGATCGGTATGACTTGTGCACTCTGTCACAGCTGCCCCTTCAAGCTTTCTCTAGCAGTGCTATAGCAGAACAGCTGAAGGGCGGAGGCTTGAAATGACTTGTGTTCGGATCAGAGAGGCTCCTATGATCTTTGACAATCATTACGAAATTTGCTGATTAAGCTTTGAGCAACTTGTTTCAGAAAAATAAATGAACTTCACTTCCCTGTATGCACATGTCTCTGTTTCAACATGAAGAACACGCTCATTCAGAAGAAAAGAGCTCTGCTGGGTGACTGTTTAGAAATGCAATCATCTAAGTGCTTCACTAGTATCACTACATATTCATTTTCTCTGTCAGTGGCAGAAAAAGGAAGCAGATTGATTGATAGATTTGTCCCCCTTCTCATCTTATCCTGGTCTTTCATGCTTTACGTTCTAACATTTAACCTTAAAATAATTCTTTATCCATATTTTAATCCTTTAACTTTTTCAGTTAAGGGTCCCTATTAAGGGATTTTGAGCAGCAAACATTTTTTTCCTTTTACAAAGCAACCATGTTTGCGCTGTTATGTCAGTGTGTGGTCTATGGTAATGGTAGCCAATTTTCTAGCCAAGTGTTTACTCTTTCTGTGATAAACACATAATCAGTCATGTTTTTCTATTTTTACAGCATTGGCTCACTCCAGTGAACACTTACAAAAATTAACAAAAAACGTTACTGTTTTGCTCTCACACAAGCACACACTATTAACTGAGTTGGGAAATGTTGGATGCTCTAAGAAAACACTTGATTCAAGACACGTAACACTTTGTTTTTTATACTTATTTCTATAAAGGAAAGTCCACAGTATTAACATGCTGTTCATGCTTCAATTCTCCAGGAGTGGATTTGACAGCTGGAGGAACACAAGCCTGTTCAAATTAATCTTTCACACGCAATAAGTTATACATTAAATATAAGGGAGTGGCTCGAAAACAATATGAGAACACATAGTTCTCCATCTGATCTGACAAGTTTGTTGATAAGAAATTATTAAATCATGAAGGGCAGATTAATTGTGAGTGTCAGTCAGGCCAGCACACATTTATTTTTAGAAGGCAAACTGAGCAAGTAGATATGAGGTCAAACATGTGTTCGTGACTCAACAACCACAACACTGAAGTCAAAAGCAAACCGTATACAACAATACATATTTTAGTTAAACAACACAGACATGGGTAAACAGTGGTTTCCTTCTGACCTCAGTCACAACATTTCCAGATGTGATTCAAAACACAACCATTACCTCAGAAATAATCTTGTTTGCCCGCTGTTCTACCTGTATATTCTGATATTTCCAAATAACTGAACATGCATACTCAAAAGTTAAGTGAAAACACTCATTAATATTTACACTTTACACTGTCAACACAGTCTCTTTATGGATGTCACATGGCTTTATGATGCTTACAAGAGGCTAGCAGGTAGATAAAGTTGTGCTGTTGCTTCCTAAATGTGTGTTGTGGCTATTTCCTTATCATATAATACACATAGACTGCCTATACATTATAAAGATAGCACGCAAATACTCTGATGGAACCCGGATGCTGTGCAGGAAACAGCAGTCAAAAAGTAGTGCAATAAAAGTCTCATAGATAAGACACTGTGAGAAGTGAAAACCAGTTCTGTTACTCTCAGTGAAAGTTGCCAATGGTTAATGTCAACGGCAGAAAGCATAAGGGTTTACATGAACACTGTGGCATTTGCAGGCAGAGAGTGACATTTTACTAATGACATCAATACATACTTAAATTCTTACCTCAGCAACATTAAAGTGCCAGACAACAAAGGCTGTCAGTATGCCATCTCTCTGTCTGTTTTGAGTGGCTGTTAGCTGTGACTTAAATGGTTGTCTACAATCCTGATGGTCATTGGTTCGAATCCTGGCCCCTGCAGTCAATATGTCAAAGTGTTCCATTGAACCACAAATTGCTGCCGTAGACATGTTCAACAGTGTGGCTGATCTCTATGTGAGTCGCTTTGACTAAAAGTGTACGTTAAAAGAAATGTCTATCATGTTCATTTTTAAAAATTATATTCAAAGTTTGACCCAGCTGGCCACTTGTCAAAAGAAAAGAACATTGTTTTCATTATATTATATGTCTTTATTGAATAAAACCATGCATAACAAATAACAATACATTCATCTCAAAAAGAGAAGTGATGCTATTTGCGAGATTATAGTTGAAAGCTCATTTCCATCTGCAGTCCCAGGGCAAGTGCACACATAACAATCATTAAACAATTTGCTAGTGCCTATCACACTAACAATTAAAACAGAAGAAACTACAGAAAATATAAATAGGCCTACTAGTATATTTATCAATATAAATATAATTTTACAATTCATTTCAACTAACATAAAAATATTGGCCAGACTGGTTGTCCAAAATCCAGTTCCTAGTCTTCATTCACTTTTTAACAGCATAAAGGCTCACACACACTTCCTATCATGTCCCTTTGCTTGGGCAAGTGGTGCAAGACTCTTTGCGCGTGCGTAGTCATGTTCTAGCGCGCGCTGTTATGCGGTACTGGAGCAGTAGTGTGTGAAGGAGAGCGTGCAGCAACAGAACAGAGACACTTCACAACAGGTAGAGCCGGAGACAGAGAAACTGCGTGCTTTAAACACACTTCTACTTTTCTTTTTCTTAAGTTTTCCCTTATCAGCCTCGCGTGTGTTCATATAGTGATTTAAACACACTTGTTTTTCACAGCGTTTTCCCTCCACGCTGAACCGGTCTTTGTTTTTACAGAGGAGAGCAGCAGGACGAGTCTCGTACCATGTCGCCAACTTGTTGATGCTGCCAATTCATTTTTACTGCCGTCATTCAGGGTAAGTTGTATTATTTTACAGTTAATTGCGTTTTTCCAACTAAAGGAATGGTACATAACTAGCTTGGGCATGTGAGTCAAACACATGATAACATTGTATTCTCATTAGGACCGGTGGTGTTAAGTTAAGAACTGTACTTAAGAACAATGTTGAGATACTTGTGCTTTACTTTAGCAGAGGTGGGAAGTAACTAAGTACATTTACTCAAGTAGGCTACTGTACTTAAGTACAATTTTGAGATACTTGTACTTTACTTTGTATGCTACTTTGTACTTCTACTCCACTACAATTCAGAAGTAAATTGTGTACTTTTACTCCAATACATATGTTCAGTTACTTTACAGTTTCTGATTAATGATGTGAAATACAATCAACACTTAAATAAGATTTCAGTTACACCTGAAGTAAATGCACAAGCTACCCTGCTGCAGCATACAAAGTAATTAAAACTAGCTGCACCTTTACCAGCTTTGATAACACTTTAATGATCAATAATTATAATAAAAACATATAACATATATTATTCTGAAATGGACCAATCTGCAGAATGAGTACTTTTACTTTTCTAAAATTTGTATTGCAGGACTTTTATTTGTAACAGAGTATTCCTACACTCAGTTACTTTTACTCAAGTACAACATCTGAGTATTTCTCCCACCTCTGTACTTTAGCATTTAAATGTCATGTTACTTTGTACTTCTATTCCACTACAATTCAGAAGTAAAAACTCCTTTAGTTACTTTGCATATATAGATGAATGATAAACAATAGGATCAACACTTAAAAAAAACGTTAGACACACCTGGATTCAATTCACAATTAGTTGACATTAGTCACCTTTACCAGCTTGATAAACACATCCAAACATTAATAATTATAACTAAAACATATTATTCTGAAATGTGACAATCTGCATAATGATTACTTTTACTTTTAAATTCAGCGGTCTCTCCTCAAGCTTTCTTAATGTGCCCAGAGGTGTTCCTCAAGGTTCGGTCTTGGGACCGACCCTTTTTACTATTTATATAAATGATGTGGGTCAAAGTATTGATGCCTCTGTACATCTATATGCAGATGATACTGTTGTGTACTGTTGTGCTAGCACTGTTGCCCTTGCATTTGAACGTCTGCAGTCTGCTTTTGACACTTTTCAGTCACATCTGTTCCACCTTAGGTTGGTGTTAAATTCAGATAAGACAAAAGTCATGTTGTTTTCCAATAAGAAAAGGTTACCAACTGTTCTTCCCTGCATCATGTCTGCACAGCATAACCCCATTGAAGCTGTTAACACCTACAGATACTTAGGCATTACTATAGATGAAAATCTCTGCTTCAAACCACATATTGACAATCTCTTAAGGAAATTGAAATTAAAACTAGGATTATTTTTTAGAAATAAGGCCTGCTTCTCCACAAGTGCGAGGAAACGGCTTGTAGCTGCCACATTTTTGCCGCTCTTGGACTACGGGGATGTTGTGTACATGAACGCCTCAGCTCACTCCCTTCATCTGCTGGACGCTGTCTACCATGGGGCTCTGAGGTTCATAACCAACTGTAAACCCCTCACACACCATTGCACGCTGTACTCTTTAGTCAACTGGACATCATTATCAATGCGCAGATCACTGCACTGGTACAAACTCATCTATACCGCTATGCTTGGACTGCTGCCCCTCTACATATCCACTTACATATCACACAAACAGTACAGCTATAGCCTACTATCTCAAAATGACATCACTCTGTCCGTCCCCTCAGTACGCACGGTGCTTGGGAAAAAAGCCATATCATACTCTGCCCCCTCGACCTGGAACACACTTCAGCAGGAACTTAAGCTGACCAGTTTGATACCCATCACAGATTTTAAACTAATTTTAAAAAAGCTGGAGAAATCATCTGTGGGTGTTTGCACCTGCTATATCTGACTACTGTATATGGATTTCAATGACTACTTTTTTTACGATGTTGTATTTTAGTGTTGCCTCTGTGTTTAGTGTCCTGTCTGTCTGTAACTTTGTGTGGTAGTGTTACCACTGACAGGTCTCTCTTGAAAATGAAACCTTGTGTCTCAATGAGATTTTACACCTGTATAAATAAAGGCTAAATAAAAAAGGACTGTTACTTGTAGCAGAGTATTCCTACACTTTGGTATTTCTAATTTTACTTAAGTACAATATATGAGTACTTCTTCCACCGCTGATTGGGCCACAGTGTGGCTGTTTTGCTAAATGCCAATCATATCATACCCGCTTTTTATGGTATTTGAGCGCAAGTTGTATTCTCAGTACATTTTATAGTTTTGATATTAAATTGAATCATTCCTTAGTGTATTAAAGTCGTAGCCCTGCTACATCCACCGGATGTTATTGAAATAGACACTGAAAGGACTGAATCAGATCCTACTACTAAAATAACTCTGGCGAATATATCTGTAATGGTTTTGAGCCTTGATAAGAGCTTGCCTCTGGTGCTGACTTCAGGGTTGTTGCATCCTTGTGTTTTTCTCCTGTTCTTGGAAATCATAGAAGCAGAACCACAGTGCCTTCAGGCAAGGCACTTACCCAGAGCAAGATGCACAGCGGGGAGCCTCAGGGTAGCAAGGTGTTTCCTGTGCTCAGACTAGGTGTGAATACTTGTGACAGCATCTATGTGAACTGTGCAGAAGACATAGTGTGCAAAACCATCACAATACAAACTGAGCCCCAAGTCTTAAACCGCAAAAATTAGGCTGTAAAAATCCTGGGAAACTTTTACTGTTCCCATGGATTTGGTGTGGAATTTCTCAGCTTGAGAAAACACTTTATTTGTTGACATTGTTAAGGAATAATTCTTCTAGATATCTAACCTTTTGCTCTGTGACATTTTATGATCTACTCTGACGTCTGTTATCTCCTTTTAAGGAAAGGCCTTGGTGCCATATGTGTTGTTGTCACCAGTTTGTGACCGGTCAACTTGTCTGGCACGAATGGTAATTGTTGTGGGAACGCTGAGGCGCTTCTGTATCGGTGTTTGTGGACTCTAAGATGTGAAATCTTTGAGGCCATGAGTGTCGGGAGCAGGTGGCTCAGTGTTCCCAGCTGTTTAGTCTACTCCTTCAGAGATGTTGATTACTCTCTGTGAACTCTAGCATAGAGAGAGGCTCTTCAGAATTGACGTGGCAACTCTACCGTGAAGTCAGAACCTCTGACTCTTTGACTTGTGATGTGAATCCTCCGGCCGATACTCTGAATAAACCCATCAGTGTTTGACATCGAAAGCTCCAACTCTCACCGTGTCTCCTTCCTGAGTCGGTGACTCCCAATGCATTGCTACACAGAAGTTTCCCCCACAGACATCATATAAAACATTTAAAGAATTGTTTGAAGAAGTTCATATTAATAGTTCTTAACTTTATATTTGTCAGACTTTTTGTATTACGTTGAATTGGAGTGTCATACAGTGAAGGATACATGCTTTATATAATAGAATTGGTACTAGAAGAATGAAGAACAACAGGCCTCCAGTTATGCATTTGCCTTGTTCCTAGTCATTGTCTCTGTAACGGATCTTCCAACCTTCATAAATAGATGTATTTACTGAATACAGCAACTATGTATGATTGTTATCACGGCAAGCAGTGTGTCTGCAGAGCAACCTTCCGTCTTGAGATCTGTATCAACTTTCTGAGACTATCCAGGAAAGTGTTTCACGACAGTTGGCTGACATCAATATATTAATGCAACTGGAGATTAAGTTTATACTTTACTGAGAACATACAGAGACAGGACAAACAATCCTTATGGGACACTATAAAGCAGGCTGGGGAGGTGAGAAATATATAGCTCTCTGCGAAAATGCTCCCATTCGCTCTTTCAGATGAGATTTTCTCGATCACTTTAGTAAATTGTGTCGGAAATGGGTGAAAAATAGTCAACACAGTTCCCAAAGGCAAAGGTAATGTCTCAAATGCTGTGATTTGTTAAACCAGCAATCTAAAAACATGTAAACATGCAGTTAACTATCACAGCAACACAGGAAATACCTCATAAGTCGAAATTGGTCTATTTTCCCTTCAACGCTTGAAAAGTGATTTGTTTCCAGTCATTTTCTTTCATATGGATATTACATATGATTATTTATTTCAGTTCTACACGCATATATATTTGCTTTCCTTAAATTATAACATACATCATCTCTGCTTCTGAAGACACCAGTGGAAAAATAGCGATGTGATATATTTGCAACAAGATCATATGACAAGTTTATGACACAAGCTTCTGTCTATGTTTGTAGCAGGATATATAATTAAACCTAACCCCAGTAAAAACCTGTCACATGTCACAGAAGTAATAACCGGGAATCATTCGGATGGGCTGTCAGACTTGGCACACTCGCATGAGACTTTGGCATGGTCACTGTGATTTTAGAAAAGATTCCTTTCTGCTGGCACCGGTCAGCTTTCTGTCTGTGTTTGGTTTGTCCTTTTGGGAACAGAATAATGAAACACTGGTCAAAGACATCAGGCTGGACAGAGAGGTGATAGAGGGGAAGAGGGATCCAAACTTGTTTACAGGACAAAGTTAAGTGCACAGTATTATCTTCCAGAGTAAATAGTCGCATGCTCTCAGCCAACCATCCAAAACATGCCAGCCAAATGTCTCCTTAAAATGTGTAATTTAATGAAAATGGACCAACATAAATCTGACTTCTCTGGTCTGAGTAGGATTCAGAGGATTTCTCTTATAGTCCGTCTTAATTGTGATCCATAAAGATAAGAGCTACATTTGAAAAGGATACTGTATAATTCCCCGAGATTTAGAGATGCATTAGGAGAATCAGTCAGTGAAGACATGTCTTTTTTCTTTTTCTCCTGTCTTAATGCTTTAGTGACTGTGCTCTAAGCAGAGCTGCATTCCCATCTGCGCCACAGACCCATGACAACAGGGCACAGGGTAACTACTGTTTGACACTCTGTTAGGGTTTAGGAAGGGTTTATGCCTGACTACAGGTGTGTATCAAGC